TAGATGATTCTCAAGTCCCTATCATCTAACCCCACTTCTTTCAAGATGTTTATAAGTTTATCATGCTTTACTCTATCAAATGCCTTTTTGTAGTCGATAAAACAAATATACACATCACAGTTAACATCCCTGCATCTTTGCATAAGCACTTGGACAGCGAATAGAGCCTCTCGGGTGCCTAAGGAATCGCGGAATCCAAACTGCGTCCATGATACTTGTTCTTCGCATTTTTTATATATTCTGCCGTGTATCACTTTCAAGAACGTTTTAAGTAAGTGGCTCATTAGGCTAATTGTTCTGTAGTCTTCGCATGTCTTGGCATTTACTTTTTTTGGTATGGTCACGAAGGTCGACTTTAACCAGCTTTGGGGTATTTTTCCAGTTACGTATATGTTGTTGAATACAGTTGTTATCCATTTTATTCCCTGTTCATCCATAAGTTTTAGGAATTCTGCACAAAACTCGTCAGGCCCTACCGCTTTACCATCTTTAGTTCTTTTAATAGCTGACGTGACTTCTTCAATGGTAATCGGGGGTCCTGTTTGGCATTCAGTGTCTTCAATGGTATTCTGCCTTTCATCTGCAAAAGTTACTTCCACATAATTCTTCCAAGTGTCTAGTTTTTCTTCCACAGTTAACAGTGGTTTGCCTTGGTTATCTGCCAAACACCCAACTCTTCTAGGTTTGTATAAGCCTGCGGCTTCTTTAACTTTTTTGTGCATATTAAATGAATCGTGTTTATGTTGCAATTGCTGTATTTCCGCACACTGTTTTCTTAGATGTGTATCCTTAGCTATTCTAATAGCTTTTTTGATCTTTTTATCGATTCTTTTGTATAATGACATGTCTTGATCTTTGAACTTTCGCCTCTCTTCCATCATATCTAGAATCTCATTTGTCATCCACGATTTCTTCTTTATTTTTGGTGGTTTGAGAAATTTCTCTCGTATGTCTTTTGAAACTGTATGTAACTTTTCTAGCTCCTGGTCCATTACATCCGATTGAATAACGGTATTCAAATTGTTCTGTATATACCGCTTTACACTATGTTCTGTGTGTTGGTCTTTTAATAGCTTGATGTCGAATTTTGGATTGACACTACGTCTAACCTTCTTTAGCCTGAGCCTAATTTTGCCAATCAGTGAGTTATGGTCTGATTTGATATCAGCTCCTGGGTATGTCTTGACTGATGTTATGCTGTTCCGGAATCTTTTATTAATCAGAATGTAATCTATTTGATTTCTCACTATGCGGCCTGGAGTATCTTGAGGTGATTTCCATGTACATAATCTTCTGTGTGGGAGTTTGAAGTATTTTTTTTTATGGCTTTGGATTATTGATCCATTCAGCCACGGTATTATAATAAATACTGTTTGCTACAATATTAAATACTATATACACATGCGCAGCACATATACAAACTTATGCACGCACATATATGCATATAGGTATTGTTATATAAAAATAAAAAAAAATACAAAAAGGAAGTGGAAACATTAAATTGACCTCTATTTAAACTCTTCATTCAGGACCCTAACCAACTTAAATTAATTTACAAATAAGAAATATACAAATAATACTAAATGCTAATACTAAATTCTAATAATTAATAATTGTCACAGCGCTAAGACATAAACCCGGTTCAACACCTCGGAGGTTTAGGCCTTCTTTGTGATCGTTTTTTTTATTTTTTTTTATTTTTTTTTTATTTTTTTTTTTTAATTATTTATTTTTTTTTCTTTTTTTTTCTTTAATTTTTTTTTTTAATTTTTCAGTTTTTTTTATATGATTTTTTATTTATATATATTTTTTTTAATTTTATTTATATAAGTTTTTTTTTATTTTTTATTTTTTTTTTATTTTTTATTTATTTATTTTTTTATATACATATATATTTTTTATTTTTTTAAATAACAATGTTCGTATTTTACAGGGAGGTACTTAATATTACATAAGATTAATTATAAAAAACAATAATTGCTAAACACATTCAATCCGACTCATTCATCCAAGTTAGATTTTTCTCTTAGTCCTTTTTAAAAATTCCCAAATAATTTGTTGTATTTTATGGTTTCGTCGAGACAAGTATAAAAGAGAAGTTTGGTTTTGTGGTAAAGGTATTTGTTCTTGAGACAGGGTGTGCATCAAATATTTAATTGCATCATCATTATGCTTGCATCCAAACAACCAATGATTAATATCATCAACGTAACCATTGCAATCACAAAGTTCTGATTCGGATAGATTTAGTCTATAGAGGTATGTCTTGACAGTGGCATGGTTAAAGAGACATCTAACAAACATGGAATAAATATTTCTATTGGGGTAACTTCTTACGGCAAACGGCTCAGTAGGTAAAACTGGATGAATTTTTGTATAAAGATTATTGCTTCGATTACAGAAAGCAAACCATTCAATGTCCCAATTTTGTTTTAGACTTTTCTTGCAAGTGGCTGTTAGATCGCTTCTATCTAGCCAATTTATTTCTGATCCTTTTAAGATTGCCTCTTTAGCATAAAAATCTGCTTTGAGGTTACCGGAAATACCAAAGTGTCCTTTTACCCAGACGAAATGTACAGTAGTATGTTCTTCCTGCAGCTTAAGTTGGTTTTCTAAAATTTTAACGACAAGACTATTTTTATATAAATGTTGACGTGAGTTTTCTAAAGCTAATAACGCAGACATTGAATCTGATATAATTACTACTTGGTGGTTAGAAATTTTTTTGTTGACCGCCCATTCTAGAGCTTTATGAATTGCGAACATTTCTGCAGAGTATATAGAGCATTGTTTATCTAACTTGAACATTAGGGATTCTTTGTGATCCGGAATATATACAGCACAGCCGACTCCCAATCTAGATTTAGAACCATCCGTGAAGATCCTGCATGGATTATTAAGCTTGGCTATCTGATGCTGAAAATCAACTGTATTCTCATTGTCAAAATTGGGAAACCAAACATTGACTTTGGCGTAAGAAACATTGAAATTCGATTGAAAGAATGTCAAGTCACACGGAGTGTTTAGACGTTGAGAAACGTTAGGATATGCCACTGCCAGAATAGGAGAATTTCTGTTATGCCACCATTTGTCGACTAGATTAGAAACAGCAATATCACATATTTTTTGTAGTAGCTCAGTTTGATTGTAAGACTGGCATTTGAGAATAAATTTTTCAGCTAAAAATAGTCGTCTTAAATGTAAGGGAGGTTCCATAGATTCGGCTAGAAGATTCTCTGTAGGTGTAGATTTGAGCGCCCCTAAAACTAATCGCAGAGCCTTATACTGAAGGCGGTCTAGTTTTTTAAGACGACTATTTGTGGCAGATCCGTATAAAAAGCATCCATAGTCGAGAATGGATCTGGTGTATGCACGATAAAACATTAAGTTAATCTTGGGGTCGGCACCCCATCGATAGCGATTAACTACTTTAAGAATATTAAGACTTTTCTCACATTTCATTAAGCACTCGTTAATGTGTTCGTCCCATGTTAACTTGGTGTCCAATGTAATACCAAGATAAGTGTAGTGATTGTGAACGGGTATACTTAGGCTGTTAAACATAATGCTGGATATAACTGGTAAACGATGTCGCGTAAAAAATACCACAGCTGATTTCTTCGTAGTAAGCTCAAACCCTTGTTTAAAGAAATACTCTCTTGCGTCACACATAATAGTTTTTATTGAGTTAATACTTTGTTGGTATAAATTATTCACAGTGTAAAAGCAGAAGTCGTCCGCATATTGTAATATATTACATTTAATGCCTATATTGTGAAGATCTACGGTGTATAAATTAAACAACAGGGGGCTAAGGACAGAGCCTTGTGGTAGACCTTGATGCACTACTCTCGGGCCAATCAATCTATCATTACATCGAATGAATACCTGTCTATTCAGAAATAGGTTTACTAACACATATGAACACAAAGGTGGAATAC